GCAACTAACGGCGTTGCACGTAAAAATTCTTGCTGTAGCCTTGGCCTATCGTCCACGGAAAACAAGCCAGACACCCCCACCCTACAAACCCACGCTCACAAAGAACTGCAGAACAAACAATTACTAAGCAACCAAAAGGCGATGACAGTGATATGTTCAAAGGTCCCAGAACTCAGTAGCGAATCGTTAAAAGGTAGACAAGCCGAGGAGCAAAACCGCTGGGCTGAAATAACCTGCGCACTCGGACTGAAACTTCTCTTAACTAGACTTACACGAGTTTCACGAAATCCTCGGTTACTGCGAGTAACGTTTGGCAACACGCGCGACCTGGAAGACGTTTTCTTAGCAAGCCACATTCTAGTGAACTCTTCTGTCAGTGCCCGCATTTTTCCGGACAGGCCATGGGCAGAAAGACAGAATCGGAAATCCAACCCTAGTTCGTCACGTCAAAATGATATCAAGAAAGTGGTACTAGTTCATGGTATGCCTGAATTGATGCATGACGGTAGCAGTGAACGACAGAAGCACGACATCGAAGAATGGAGGTACATCACAGAACTATACGACATGCAAAATGTCGTGGTTTTTGACGTCACCCGTCTAATTGCTTCCACAAAATACCAAGGCAGCGGGCCACGAATTTTGAAAGTTACCTTGGCTACGCCCGAAATGGTATCAGTGGCGATCCAAGCATGGCACGGCAACAGGAAACTTGGGTCACCAGAAGTACGGTTAAGACCACTCCTTCAATTAGTACAGACCTCAGAGACGGATGAGCCAGCCTCGGTTGTACCTATCTCAAATTGGCCAACCGTGCAAACAACCGTTTCAAAAAACTTGAGCAGCCCGGTGCTATTTGTGCTGGTCGCTCACTGCGAACCGAGCTCCTAATGAGTCAACAAATATAATGCTGCTACACCAACACTCAGCAGTAGTATTGTAAGCCCACAGAACTGCACCATCGAAATGAAACGACATACTTAATACAGAGAATGAACTCAGTGAGATGTCAGTCATTCGAAATGATCGTCCAACTCGCGATGGCGGCGTTGCCCTCTACTATCGAGATTACTTGAAATGTGAGGCCCAGACCGAAAATTCCCTTGTTATTCCCGACGCACTATTTTGCCGACTGTACCTAGCAGGTCGAGATGTTGGCTCACAGAAGACGCGTGACGCAGGCCTCTTAGCAGTCATCTATAGGCCTCCGAACTCATCAGCAGACAGCGATAAGATTCTCGTAAACGCTCTCCACTATGCTGTTTCACAAAAGTACTCCCACTATCTTATCATGGGCGACTTTGATGTTCCTTCAATAGTATCAATATCCCCTAATGGCCCATCATTTAAATCGAAACCTCGAATTCATAGATGTGGCACTTTTGTATAACCATGTGCGTCGACCAACCAGACACCGCGGTTCAAACAAGCCATCACACCTGGACTTAATCCTGACTAATGAAGAATTGATGGTCGAGTCAGTAGCATGGGATCATTTTCTGGGCCGTAGCGACCATTCAGTCCTGATATTTGGTTGCGTGTTATGCCAGTATAGTTGATAATGAAGGAGGGACTCAGCGAACTATTACGGACTATTTTAAGATGAACGACTTAACAGTAACCGTTGACTGGGACCTACAGGCCCACAGTTCAGCGAATGACGCATGGAATGATTTGAAAGCTAAAATTAACCGGGTCATACAATCAGCATCGAAGGTTGTACCATTACGAGCATCGCGCCGGACCAATACATGGATCCGAAACGGAACACCTAAGTGGATCAACAGAAGGGATGAGATTTGGAGGCAACATTCCCTAAGCATATGTGATACCACATTGCAGGATTACAAACCAATAAAAAACTACTGTACATCGCTTATTAAAGTACATAAGTACGAATAGCAGAAGACCATGGTGCAGAAATTTAAGAGTAACACCAAACTACTATACAGAAATGTGAACGACAAAGAAAGTTTAAGTCCGGAATACCACCACTTAAGACCGCCAGTGACCTAAAAGCTACTGTTGTGGATACTGCGGGCGCTGTACTTTTCAAGATTGGCTCGGTAGCCACCAATAACATGGAACCTTTGCCCTATCAACTCCAAGCAAACGTCGTTGGCTTATCCAGCTTCACCTTTACTCCAGCAGCTGTTGCAAGCAAAGTAGAGACTCTCCGGGAGTACAGTGTCTCTAGAATCGACATGATCTGACCAAAAGTACCGAAAACCCTTGCTCCCACCATAGAGGCACCACTTGTAACCTTTTACCAGGGTCTGCTTAACTCCCATGCACTCCCATCTGAGTGGAAAAATGGAGTTATCACTCCAATATATAAAGGAGCTAAGCGCTCGGATCCTGCTAACTACCGACCTATTACTCTCCTTCCTGTTTTATCAAAAGTGATGGAATCGGTAATCGCAGAAGGACTGACGCGATACGTTGAAAGTCAACAGATAATTTCTAATGCCCAACATGGTTTCCGACGCAGACGATCTTGTCTCACCAATTTGCTGATTACTCGGGACTTATGGACCAGGGCGGCTGATGAAGGAGTGCCCATAGATGTGATATACGTGGATTTTTCTAAAGCATTCGATGGGGTCAATCACTTCTTTCTCCTCCAAAAGCTTGCTGCCTACGGTATCAACGGTTCCCTACTCACCTGGTTAGAAGACTACTTACACGACAGAGCAGTCAAGGTAAGAGTAGCCGACATCTATTCTGAAAGCCTTTGCGTCTCCAGTGATGTACCACAAGGATCCTTCCTCGGCCAGCTACTGTCTTTAGTCTGCATTAATGACTTTTCAGAAGACATTCTATCGCCGATGCAAATATTCAAAGGCCATGCTAAAATATGGAGAGCAACTCGCTCAGCACCCGACCTTGTCTATCTTCAGGATGATCTGGCTCGGATTAACGAATGGGCAGCAGCGAACCAGCTCCCACTGAACCCTGTAAAGTGTCATCTGCTGACGGTGCGCAGCAGCTTCGTCAACACATAATTTTGGGTCAACACAATGGACAATGAATTTGTACGGGTTAAGAAGCGTTGCCTTACAAGTCCCGTTGGATAGTTGGTGGGGATATCAACATAACAATAATGATGATAAGGATAGTAAAATAGTTAATACTTTAAAAATGAAAATGAGGACTTATCGTTTGCTCCGCTGTAGTCCTGCGATCCTCTTAGATTCACAGCATCCACAGTTAACAAAAAATAATTCCATGGTAAACTCCAAGTGTAGGATGGAGACGTAGTGTTAAGTGACAAAGTGTAAGTGGATGAGTGCATCGTCCAGCCATCTTTTAAATACTGTTAGTGTTGGTGCAGAGACGACTAATTCCGGAAGAGCATTTTACGGGTGACAGACAAGAATGGAAAAGAAATTTCTGCGGCATTCCAGACGACTGTATTGTTCTGCGAGTTTAAATGAGTGGCCCCTCAGGTTTGTATTGCTGCTGAGTTGCAGTAAAGGGCGGCGCACATGATGTGGGTCTCGTAGAATCAAGTATGCCGTAATCAGGTCGCCTCTTAACCTGCGATAGCTTCCACTGAACACCCCCAATCGTTGCAGCCTCACCTGGTAAGGAATATTGCGCATTCCAGTTACGTTCTTAGATGCCCGACGTTGTGGCTGCTCTAGTGCCTTAAGATCGTGTTTCAGCCGTGGATGCCAGGCTTGAATTGCGTATTCGACATGGGGGCGAACATACGCACTGAGCATTTGTCGAAAATGGAGCTGTTTATTTGTCCAAACGCCCGCCTCAACTGCCCGACGTGTTGGTTCCCGGTCTTCGAGGCCTTTTCGGATTGCCTGGAGCAACCCAAGTCATCTTAAACCAGGACACCCAAGTTACGTTCGCGAGTTGATTGTTGTAGCCTATTCGTTCCGAGTCTGTATGAGTAGCTGCTCTGATGTCGGATGGATGGATGACGTTGAAATGCAATAAGTTTTGGGTCCACCATTGATACACCGTATCTAAGTCACTCTGAAGCACATGTTGGTCGGCGTTCGCTTACATCCTGCGCCAGAGCTTGATATCGTCAACAAACATTAGGATGTTTGAAGCGATTCCCTGTGCGAGGTCATTAATAAACACCAAAAACAAACTTGGACCTAGAACTGAGCCTTGCAGCACACCACAATCGAATTGTATGGGGTCCGATAAAGAGCTCCGAACTCTGACCACTAATTGCCGTTGAAGTAGAAAGTTGCCGATCCAGCTTAAAAGTGGATCCCCAATCTCGTAATGCTGCAGCTTGGATAGTAGTGTCCGATGGTCTAGACGATCGAAAGCCTTGGAAAATCCAGGTAGATCACATAAATGCCTTCGCCAGCGTCAGCTGCCTTGATTCAACTACTGCGTGCAATGAGTAAATTAGTTGTACATGACCGCTGTCGACGGAAACCGTGCTGCTCAGGCGTGATGATGTTGCAGTTTTCCAGATAGCACACCAGTGCATCGGCAACTATGGATTCCATGATCTTGGAGAGTAAAGGAAGAAGGGTTACTGGGCGGTAGTTGGAGGGATCAGTTCTGCTTCTACCTTTGTGAATCGGGGTTATTATTCCAAGCTTTCACATGGCGGGATCTTGGTTCTGATCTAAGCAGCGCTGGAAGAACTGAGCTAAAGGTCCTGCCAGTTGGCTTGCTGCTGCTTTCAATGCCTCTGGGCGAATGGTGTCGACATCCGGCGGGCTGTGTTTGCGTAGAGACGTCAGCTTTTGCAATACAGTCTCCGCGGTAAAAGTGATGTGGGTTAGTCCTGGCGAACGGAAGACAAAGCTTGGCAGATCGCTTAGTGGCAAGACCCTTTGAAACGTGGGGGCGTATTGCATCTGCAGCGCGTTTGTTGCTTCCACAGCCGTTGTGAGTTGTGAAATCTTAAATGTATAAATACAAGGAATATTTCTCCCACCCCGCAAAATTCAGCTATGACAATATGAGCAACACCGGTACACACACAGCGAAAAATATTCTCAGTGGTGACGCACCTTTACTAGTTAACCCTGTAGTCATGATATCCTCGTTCACTAGAGACAACGCTCGAGACGCTCTACGGCACACTGACGGGTCCAGTTGCGAAATCCGTCTCTGTTGGCCTGGAACACCAAGTGTCCCTGGAATCAGCGAGGGGCGAAACGCGCTCAAACGTCTAACATCTGTGTGGCGGCGAGGATGTTCCATTGCGCGTTTTCGATCCTCCTGGAATGGAACGTCAGAATGCTCATCTGAATTTGCGGTCAGAAACAGGTTGCCAATCAAAAGCATCATTTACAATCCCTTTAACCTTGTCTCAATATGGTCGAGTAATATATTTCATTCACGATCGAATCACTGTACTGCGTAGTTTTCAACGATAGTTTACTTCACGGACGGTTGTCTCACTTAAGCTAAAGCGCCCATCACCGGTGGCTTAAATTCAGTTTCGCGATGCTTCCTCTTACTCTTCATTGTCCTACCACAGGTTTATGTGCTAAAATAACGATCCATGAACGTATCATCTACCGCAACTGGGCCTTCTGATAAGAAACGGATATCTTTAACACTAAATTAGCATAGTGATGCGCGATCGTTTTCAGTGTAAGAGCTCATTAATTCATTTTACTCTATTCACATATATTACTACATGATTTACCCATCAGCCACATGACTGAGAATTAATAAGCAACCTTGTGGCCAAAATAAGTGACTTGACATACACAGCACAGTAAGACCACAAGTATCACCGTGGGGTCTAAGTTCGTAATCCTCCAAACTAGCAGCAAACTGACAGCAGCATGTGTTACGTAGCACTAAGCAGCAAAATATAAATGCTTTCATCTATCATGTGGTAACGCTTGTGAAGATAAGTTTGAACGACCACAATTCGAGTTGCTTGTGACAAACCTATGAACAGGTGTCAGATCACGGTGACGGGTGATGTGCATACTTCGCCGCAGTAAAACATGCTGGCTTCAATATTCAGAGTATTTCTCGCAGAAAGACGGTACTTTGTAGAACTACGAATGTATATTAAGCAAGCACGATGTGAAGACACACGCAAATATTACGTACCGGCCCTTGGTTAGGCGATGCCTAACATCAAATGCGGCGTTGAAAACTGTCAAAATAGTAGATGACACACCCGAGTGAGGTACGTTTGTCATCCTCAGATTATAAATTAAACAGTTTAATCCAGGCCAATATATATCTCGATGGCTACGCCTTTTTCCACAAACTCGCATGCCAACCTTGAGACACTATTTCCATCTACCCATGATATCTGTAATTTGGTCAACGCAGATAGAGGACAGAAGTTGCGATATGTTAACATTTCGATTGCTCTCCTCGGTCGCATAAGTAATACATTTGGGTAATGTATTAACTTATATACAAGTGGAACGAAAACACACGGGCAACTTCCATTTGAGCAATCAAGACTAAAACAATCTGCTAGACTGGTTCAATTGCTTTTACTTGCGCAATACCGGCCAGTTTACCACAATCAGTAACACCTCACCGATTGCCAGCATTTTCGACTTACGGTTTCACAGTAGAACCACCAAAGAGAAGCTACCAGTAGAAACGTTGGAGTAAAAGCATATTCGTTTATTTCTACCGTTCAAAGGGGATGATGTTTCAAATGAAAATGGTCATAAATTTTGGTCTGCTGTAACGCGCACCTATATCACCGCGCGTCTACGAATCTTTTTACATCACAACGAGACTAGAGCTCAACTACCGTCCGGACTGTTCGTTAGTTGGTTTGGCTTCTCATCTTATTTAAAATTCATCTGCAGCTGCGGTGACGTTTATGTGGGCAGGACTGGCCGTCGACTGGCCCAAAGCGTGGCTGAGAACTTCGCGAACTTGTTGAGACAATTCATGGTACAACATGAAGGGGAGAATCAACTAGAGTCGGAACCCCACCTCCTCTGTTCCAAAACATCTTGTGATGACTGGCCATCACATGGACCCATGAAAGTCTTTCAAGGTGATATTGATCAACCGGAAATCCAAAATGCTGGCCATCGGTGAGGCTTTACGGATTGCGGTAAACTGGCCGGTATTGCGCGCGCAAAAGCAACTACAGCCGTCTATCAGATTGTTTTGGTCTTAATTGCCCAAATCTAAATTACCTGTATGCTTTCGTTCCACTTGTACATAGGTTAATTCATTACCCGAATGTATTTCGTATGCGACCGTGTGGAGCAATCGAAACGTTATCGTAAATTCTGTCTTCTGCCTGCGTTGACAAAGTGAATAAAGTGGACACAGTGTTTCAAACATCTATTGACGCACTGAAATCGGGACACTCGCGCGCCAGGAATGCAACTGGACGACAGCATTCCTACCAATGAGCACAATTGATTGGTTTGCTTGCTAATGGACTCTTCTATCTGTACATAGACAGACTCAGTCGAAAGCGCATTTATATTGCGTTCTTGCCGAATGAATCTCGAGAGTTAGCGATGTTATATCTTGCTTCGGCTACTTTGTGGGCAACAAAGTTGCCACTCCCACAGCAGCATGTTTGATCTAAACCAACTCCCGATTTGAAGTTCGAGATCGGTTTGGGTCTGGAACTATATTGGAGATCCTGTAAATATCTCTTCTGGAGCGGTTCGTTCAGTCAGGAAAGGCTAATTTGTTCTGAGGTCATCATTGATCTAAAATTAAATACCCGAACCACACGCTGGTCAACCAGTTACTGCGCAAGTTTCCTGCAATAGCAGTAGCTGCTGTGCAGGTCACATGAAGTAAACAAGGTGTAGGAAGAACCTGGGATATAAAGAAGAAGGAAGGTCACTTAACTGAAAGATAAAACCAAAGAGGGAAATAAAGTACAGCGAATAGGATAAATGTAGAAAGATGAATGTTGGTCAGAAGGGAACTTTTATCCTGTTCCCACCCAAGAGCGTCCACCTGGCACTTAATCCCCTTAACCGTAGGTTCCTTGACCACATTTTCTGAAAGTGGGTTCCAGAACTCGATAACTCTACGCGATAACCGAGTTTCCGCCCTAGTCCGGTCAGATCGCGACTTGTGTAACTTCATGGGATGACCCCGAAGACCATGTAACCTGGTCGAGCTAAATAGTTAAGTCAAGTCCGGTCCAACCTTCCCCATTCATATTCGGTAATTGAGGATTAGGCCTCCTCGAATCATTCGGCAGTGCATTGAATTCATCCACAAACAAAGTAAGTGCTCGCGGCACGGCTGCTACCGTAACTCCTCCACCAACCTGATATCCACCAGCAGAACCCTCTCGAAATCCCTGTTATCCAGAACCATACGATGCGGGCAAGCTTGGACACGTTATTCTAGATGGGGCAGAACGAAAGCTAAAAACAGCTCCACAAAGGTATCGGCAATTAAGGCTCTGGACGAACGGCATTTTGACTGCAAACTACGGAAAATCCTGTTTGCAACCTTCTCTCCTTTGTCGCCCAGGTCCAAAGTCGGAGCGTGCATGGCGCCCAGGTTGATGTGGTTAGAGAGGAAGGGAGTTAAACTCCGCCGAGTATGTACCTCGAAGGTGGACAAGAAATACCAATACAAACAGCAGAATACTTACCTTGATTAAAAGACAGTCGCCACAAAGGAAATCGGTCTTAAGGCCTATTCTGGCATGTCTAATGGTCTCAAAACCCCAGGGACATCTACAGCATTCCACAACTTAGGTGATAAGCAACTAATAGCAATGATACAACAAAGTTCGCATGGAGACGGTTTATGGAGTTGGATAACAGCAGCTGCCCAAAGACCGAGCCATCTATGACATCGGTGAGAACATCTTGCCTAAATCATAGGATGCGACCCACGCGTACACACGGCTTTCTTCCCTGTAAGAATGCAGATCTGCAGCGAGGGGCGTGCCAAAAT